CATTTAAAGGCCCGCACGATAACCAAGCAATCAGAAGAGAGAGAGGGAGAATGAGAGGGAGGGAGGGAGGGAGGGAAGGAGCAAAGGGTGGAGACGGGGGGAGATGGAGGGAGGGACAGAGACAGAGACAGAGAGAGGGAGGGGGAGGGACGGAGGGTCGGAGGGAGGTAGAGAGAGAGGCAGGGGGGGGTGCGGAGGAGTGCATTATAGCGAGTTCAAGTAAAGTTAGCATAGGAGTTGAGAAGTGAGAAAACTTCATTAAAGGAAACTGAAGCGGTGAATGATGGTGGTAACGAATGCACAACAATCCTGTTTAAAAGCGCATCTTCAGGCCAAACCGCACGAGTCAACATGATGATGTTATTGAAGCCTTTGAATCGGCGATTCAATTTCATGGGGGATTCTGCATACGGACAGAAAGCAGTCGTGCCCATGGATGACAAGAGGATAGTGGAGCTGCTGCGATTGATCGAAGGGTACAAGGATGAGCTCCCGCACCCCAGGTTGAGGTTGAAGTCCGCAAGGCTGGACAAGGTTGGAAGCAGTCACAGAGCTCTTTCTGCTCTTTCGTGTTTTGGATTCGAATGTGATGTTGGTTCCAGTTTGCTACCGGAATGCTTCGATGGCAGCCCCGACAGGTGTGTATGCGATGTAGTGGAATGTAGCGTGATGCTTTTCGTCATCCTGTTGATTATGGCTGGTACCTTGTTGCCATGCTGTTTCTGCACCCAGTCTCTGGAATATCTTCTGAAGTTACAGAATTTGTTTCAACTGTCTCGAATGGTTGAATGTGCCTCAACTGTGCAGGTCATGGTCACGAAGCAATTTTTGGTGATAGCGAAAGATGGATCCAAGGTTGCCAACGAGGTCGTACCCTTGCACGAGGTGGAGCATGTGGAGGCGGTGGAGGACGAGGGGCAGTTAATCCGGAGGTGAGAGTAGTTTGTCTGTCAGAGTCAAAGTCTGATCCGAAGGCAGGATATCCGTCTTTGACAAGCGAGTAGGTGAGCGATGAGTATGGACCTGAAGTTTTATGTTGTTTACTTTATGCCAAAAAGAATCGAGCTTATATGACAAGCCCAAGCCAGTCACTTGCTTTGAGATTTCAACGATCAACAATGGTTACAATGCGGGGAGGAAGTATTGCTTTCGGACGAACGGAGAGGCTGAGCGAGACGAATGGATCTCTTTCTTGGTCTCAGCCTCCAAGTCTGCAAGAGACAAGCAGAGAAAAGCTAATCCCGAGTTGTCAAAGATTGCTTGGATTCAGCTTGTTCTAAGAGACAAGCTTCAGTCCGAGACCTTCCAGGTCATTATCTCCGTCATAATCCTCACGAATTTTGTTATCAATATTCTGGCTGCTGAATATTTGCCCGACGACAACGGTGTCAACATTTCTCTCTTTGAAAAGTTCGACATGTTGTTTACTGCAATCTACTCACTTGAATTGATACTCCTGCTGTTTGCTTACGGTTGGAGCTTCTTTCTAGACGGTTGGAAGATCTTTGACTTCGTGGTATGTATTTGTTCTGCACCTCTCCACAACTTTCTCCTGATAGTTGCTTATAACTTGTTTGGTAGATCGTTGGAATCAGTATCGCTGCATTTACAATCGCAGCGAAAGTGAGAATCTTTCCTTCACGATGTACATTCATTCTCATCAATGCTTTCTCACAGAGCAAATTCCAAATCCTACGTCTCATCCGAGTCTTTCGAGCGGTCAAGGCTCTACAGATCTTTGCTTCTTTCCGACAGATCATCAATGCTCTCATGTTCGCAGCTTTCTAGAAATGCTCTTGAGCTAACGACGCCCTGCAGAAGCTCCTTCACGCCTGTCTTGAGCTCGTTCGTCATCCTCGTCCTTGTCACTTGCATCTATGCCGTCTTGGCTGTCAACTTGTTCCAAGAACGCAATCCTGCCCTCTTCGGAGATTTCAAGCGAGCGCTTTTCACCATGTTTACAGTGAGACAATTATCTCCTTCCTGTCTGCTGGTCGAGAGCTTGTTCATCTACGCCTCGAGTTTCCTCCCTCCCGTGTTGAACCTTCTGTAACATTAACATGTTTTTGTCGTGTGACAATGAGTGACCTGGTGCTCAAGTTTCGATCTCGTGTCTATGTGGCGCGAACAGCTGAAAACATTTTGATTACACTGAGACATCTCTTTCTCAGATCAGCACGGGAGACAGCTGGAGAGATGCTACTCGGACTCTCTTCCTGAGCCCCGACGACTTTTCAGCTCCCATCGCTCTCTTCATCACCTCTTACGTCATCATCGGTCTCCCCCTTTCAACGCTCTTCACGTCTGCTGAACTTTCTCCTTGCCCTCAGCCGGCATCGTCCTGATCAACGTCGTCATTGCCGTCCTGATTGGTGACCCCTTGCTCGCTGACTCGCTCGTTCGTGCTCACGGCCGGCAGATGAATTCTCCGGCTCTGTCGCCAAGGAGAAGGAGGCTCGCAAGCGGCAGACTCTGCACACCCTTGACAGTGTAATCTCGTCCTATTCGGGGCCCATCGACCCGCTGCTCTACTCTCTCATCCACTACAACACCAACGAGGATCTCAGCAAGAAGATCCAGCAGCTCTTTGACTTCCTTGATGCGGACGACAGCAACTTCCTCTCCTTCTCTGAGATTGAGCAGGGGCTGCGCATGATGAAGATCGGGAGCAGGATGCACTTCTCCATGGAGGACTACGAAGAGCTCACGCGCTATGGGGCCATGTGCAACGAGGACCAGGAGATCGACCGAGAGAACTTTGAGAAGATGATCAGGACGGAGCTCAAGCGCTTCGTGCAGAGGAGGATGGCGGCGTCGATGATCGAGGATGCGGCAGCGTCCGACCAGATGTCCCCCGTGTTCATGGTGTTGAAGCAAATCATCCTTGACATCGAGGAGGTAGCTGTTTCCTCATCCCTTCTCCTGCCCTTTACCTGCTTCTTCCTCTGATTCCCCCTCCCCTTCCTTCACCCTCCCGTTATCCCTCCTCCTCTATCGCATCTTGATTTACCACTCGTTCTGTCCCGTTCTCCCATCTCCATCCCCCTTCTTGCTCTCTTCCTTTCCTCTTCTTTCAATGGTTCTCCTCCTCCTCCTCCTCCTCCTCCTCCTCCTCCTCCTCTTCCCCTCCATTTTCCTTCTCTCCCTTTTCCTCCTCCTCCTCCTCCTCCTCCTCCTCCTCCTCCTTCCCTCCCTTTTATTCGCTTATCTTTCGCTCCAGCTCTCTAAGAAATCAGCGTCCGAGCCTTCAAAGGTCAGTTTGCCTGTGAACCTCCACCGGCTCGTTGACCCTGGCGGTAGGTGCAGACTCAAGGCTTAGGAGCAAGTGAACCCTCGGCCAACGGGTCAGCCTCGGAAGACATCAAAGACTTCCTGGCCAAGCACATGAAGGCCTACGATAGGAAACTTGACGCCATCCTGCGGGCTGTGAGAGGGTCAGCTGCTGGTGGGGCAGCTGGGGCAGGAGCTGGAGGGGGAGCTGGGGTGGCGGAGCCGGTGAACAGGCCGAGGACGTGGACAGGAAGAGAATCGTCTCAGGTCTTGTTCGAGGACAGCGCACCGAACGTCATCAAGGAGGAGAAGAAGAAGATGAGAGCGACAGTGCATGGGGCAGGCGCGCAGGAACGGCTAAGAAGAAGTCAGAACGAGATCGTGATCTCAAGGAGGCAGGCGAAGGAAGGGGCCTCTTCTTCCAGATCTCCCACCAGGAGGGAACGAGCTACAGTCGATCTTGACGAGCTGGAGGAGGCGTTCACTCGAGTTGTGAGCATGCCCTCCAAGCTGGAGCACAGGGCGGGCAAGCCGACGCCCCTCCTGCTCGAGGGATACTTGGAGCCGATAAAGGAAAAGGACAAGGGACGCGAGAAGGGAAGTGGGAAGACGCCGAAGGAGGGAGATGGCGAGGCTGGGAAGCAGGTTGCGAAGCGAGAGCATCATTCCAAGAGCGAGAAAGTGTCAGTGATGAAGTTCATCCTTGACTCCACGGGCTTTCTCCTCGTCAAGGTCCCATGGAAGCAGATCCCAGCTGACCCCCTGCTGCTCTCCAAGACCCGCCTGCTGGGCAGCTCCAACGTGGACGACATGTGCAGAGGATGCAAAGCTTGCAGGACGGGATTGACCCGCCAGGGAGTCCTCCTCTTCGACGCTCAGTTCGTCTACCTCACCGTGCAGATTCCTCTAGATGACAAGACCAAGAGCGTCCTCTCCGCCTCTGAGATCGTCCCTTCCCAGCTGATTCCCAGCTCAGGGGTGGACAAGTGGCCGAATGTTCGCTCCTCCTGCTCCAACGTGCTGAGAGGGCTGGGTATCACAGTGACGCTTCCAGAAAAGTACTCAGAGGTATGTTGTTGTTGTTGATGATGATGATGTTGATGTTGTTGATGTTGTTGTTTTTGTTGTTGATGTTGATGATGATGATGATGATGGTTTTTGTCTTGGTGGTGATGATAGACGGTGATGATAGTAGAGTTTGGAATCATGTAGATAGGGAGGAGGATCAGCGGCAAGTTGGCAGGATAGTGCTGTGTACATGAGATCTCTCAAGTATCTATCAAGTTTGACAATCTCAAGTATCTATCAAGTTTGACAAGTTGCCCTGCAGCTGGTGCAGATCGTGTCGGACGATGGCAAGCATCACCTCGACTGCTTTCACGTCAAGAGGTGACACGAAATGTACCCCTTTGCTGGTTGAACCCCTTCAGCTGGATGTCCAGCTGGATGTCCACCTGGAGGTAGCTGGTGGACTCGAGCTGAGCCCAAACCGCACCTCCTCTGCTTTCCTTCCCCCCCTTGCTTTCGTCCCCCTGCCTCCTCCTGCCTCCTCCTGCCCCCTGCCTCCTCCTGCCTCCTCCCTCTCACTGATCTGCTTCTCCCAGTACCTCTCTCGACCTCCACAAGCAGGTGGTATGCGATGGAACCTTCGAGCAGGGGTGCGCCTTTCTCGTTACTTGCCCTCCTCCTCCTGACCCAGCACAGGCACATCCTCGCTTCCCCCGCCTCCAGAGAAGTCTGCTCCATCCTCCCCGCAAAGATCCCGGTGACTCCTCCAACTCCCCGTCCAGCTGAACCCGGTACTCATCAGCTGGGCCGCAGGTGGATCGCACAACGCTGAAGTTCCTGTCGTTGGTATCTCAAGTGCTCATCACAAGAACCCTCTCACTCCCTGGAGCAGATCCGAGGGAGAGACTGAGTTTCATCTGATCCCTTCCACGCTCCTGCAGAGCGACGGTCGTCCTCTCTCTACCTTTGGGCTGGACTTCCTCCTTGCTCCCTCAGTTTGTTTCCTCTGCCGGCTGCTCCTCGTTCGGCATATGTTGTGACACCGATGCGCCTGCTGTTTGCTCCCCATCTTCATTCTTGTCATGGTAAACATGACTACGACTTGAAGACTCTGCCTGTTGCCACTTCGGTCCCTCCACGTCTAAGGATGGACTGAGCGTCAGGAGGTATATTCGCAAGTTTACCTCATCTCTTGTTAGACT